AGTGGCTTCCACTCAAAGCAGCTGCCCGAGGCTTGACCTCAAGCAGGATATCTGTGTAGGAGCTTGGAGTATATGGAACTGGATGAGCATTTTCCCATGCTGTTGAGGGAAATGAAGTGTTTGGGAGTTGAGGTGCATGCTCTCTTGGAGGAGAGAAGATCTGGCAGTGACTTGATCAGTGTGGGTGGGTACATCTTCTATTGGTCGGGATGGGGTATGGTCACCATCTTCAAGGAGTAGCCATAGCCATCTCCAGCCGACTTCAGTAGTAGAGATACCATCAGTTGATGAGTGTATTATGGCAATTATCCTGAGACGTAGGGGAATTCCGACACAGAGTATTGGTTTAAAAGCAGAAAGTGCTGTAATGGTAAAGAAAGTACAGAAAGTGGGGGGGCCTGTCGAACTTCTTCCCTGTTAACTCGGGAGTGAGGCAAGGCTGTGTCCTTGCACCAACACTTTTCAAGACCTGCATGGACTGGATAATGGACAACACTGGGCAATATCAAAGTCGTCGACCGTGATATTGATGATGTTGCTATCCTATCTGAGCCTCTGGAATCACCGGTGGCAGCTCTTGATGCATTCAGCAATAAGGCGAAACCCTTGGACCTAAAGGTCTCCTGGATTTTGGGCGACTGTTAGAGGAACCTGTTCAGTCAATACATGCTTGTGGTGAAGAAAAAGTTTCAGAGAGTTTTACATATCTTGGTAGCAGTCTATGTCTCTGGGCTGTCAGATGGATTGGTCTGGCAGCAGAAACTATGAACTTAGTCAATAAGAGCATTTGGAGATGTTGGCACCTATGCAGAAGGACCAAGCTACTTGTCTTCAAGGCCTTGATACTGCCAGTTTTGCTCTGTGGAAGCGAAATTTAGACGCTTTCTAGTGCCTTGGAGTCTTGTCTTGATGCCTGTTGGAACAAGTCCCTATGCCAGATCAAGCTGGAAGGACCATGTCTTCAATCAACGGTTACACCGGCATGGGACCTGTTATCTGCGTAATCTGAGACCGTTAACTCAGGCTATACTAACACCTAGCTCGTTTTCCTTTGATGATAAAGATTACATATATAAACACACACACATTTATATATATATATATATATATATATATATATATATATATATATATATATATATATATATATATATATATGTATATATATACACATTTATGTATATATGTATTTTATTTATTCATATATATATTATATATGAATAAATATATATCTATCTTCTACGACGTTTCCCTTATTTAGGTGTTGTCACTTTCCACATACTGCTTTTCTCCACTTCTTTCGGTCTTGTGCCCACTGCTCTTCAATGTTCCTTTTCTTCATGTCGGCCATCACACAGTCCAGCCACCTCTTTCTTTGTCTTCCTCTGGTCCGCTTTCCAGGGATAGGCAGATCCATCAATTTCCGTATGCCTTCTTCCTCATGCCTTCTTTTCACATGGCCGAACCATGTGAGTCTTGCCTCTTCGATCTTGCTACTAATGCTTGTGACTCCTGCTTCAACTAAAAACCTCTTCGTTTGTTCTCTGCTCTCTTTGACTGATTCCCAACATCCACCTCAGCATTCTCATTTCCGTTCTCTATAGCAGGCTCTCTTTACTCCGCCATAGCCGGTCCCAAGCTCAGGTTGAGAAAGGAGGAGGGTTGTTGCCAGGCCTCGTAAGCCGAGCGTAAAAACACCCTACGAAAAACATGGATCGAAACCACGTACTGCTAGCCTCGGTAAATGCTAGGGCGTCCCCCCGGGACGGTGTGAGAAATATGCAATGGGTACCGTCGGCCCAGCGACGACGGTTAAAGAAGCGAGTTGGAGAGTGGAGATGTGCCACTTGGAACATCGGCACAATGACTGGAAGAAGCAGGGAGATAGCAGAAACCATGAAGCAGAGGAAAGTGAAAATACTCTGTGTAAGGTGGAGGGGCGGCTGAGTAAGGGAGATCGGAGAAGGTTATAAGCTGTACTACTCCGGAAGCAGAACGGGAAGAAACGGCGTGGGTATCATCCTCGATGAAGAGCTCAAGCAAAGGGTGGTGGAAGTCCAAAGGCCCTCAGACAAGTTGATGACAATTAAGGTGCTAGCAGGAAAGAGTCTGATCAACATCGTGAGTGGTTATGCTCCACAGACTGGCTGTGAAGATCAAGAGAAGTGTTAGAGAGATCCCTGAGGAAGAAGAAATTATCCTAGGAGCTGATCTGAATTGTCATGTAGGAGAAACAGCAGGAGGTTATGAAGCATGTCATGGCGGTTTTGGATACGGCCTGAGAAACGAAGAAGGAGAGGAAATGCTAGAGACATTGGAGAGCTTGGAACTGGTCTTGGTAAACACCGGATTCAAGAAGAGAGATGAACATCTAACATCATACCGAAGTGGAGATAGCAGTTCCCAGATCGACTTCCTAGTGGTGAGGAAGAGAACCCGTAAAAACGTGAGAGATGCAAAAATGATTCCCGGTGAGGCAGTTGCTCACCAGTACAGGTGA